GTTACTGTTGCAGTTATTGTTACACGTGAACAATTTGACACTTACTGTTAATGAGTTGAATAAAGTCTGATACACCCGACTGTTTTGTTTCGCTTTATGCGCCTTATAATCCGGTGCGCTTTATGTATGAAAAAAGATTTTAGATAGTGCGTTAATAGTTAGTGCGCCTTATGGTCCGAAAAATACAGTACTAAGGTGACTATAAATATAACATGCAACAACTTACGTATTTTAATTCATAGAATTGTCTTAGACATAAATAATGAGTTCACTATAGCTCCAAAGTGAACAGATAGTCAAAATCTCCAACAAACATCATTGTGAGAGTGGCATTTGACATTCTTCAGTAGTCTGGCGGATGCATTTGCCTTCTACGACGAGGGAGCACGTCGGAATCGTTGGGTTCTAAAACATAAATTTATAAAATAATTCGCTAACCCTAATGCAACAGTTTCATGACACCTAATAGAGGAACGCGTGTATAAATCGAAATGCTATCTTGCTCCAGCCTACTGATACACAGACGTTAAGATCACTCTAAGCTGTAGAGGTGATTGCTCAGAGTGACTCTAAGGAGTAGAGTTCCATCAGTTTATTTTACTTTATGTCATTCGTCTGTTGTAAGTTTGCAACAGTAGCGAATCGACTGCAGTCTTGCCTATTCACTGTTCTCTACCTTCATCAATGACGAAATATTCGACCATCGACTCGTGTCTTTCCCCGAGTGGCAGGTATTGCTCGGATTGATGCCGTAACCTGCACCTATTTTATCGATTTTCTTTCTTGGAGCGTATTTCGCTAAAGGGTTGTTTAACAGTCCCTCCCTGGTGCCAACTTGTGAATTATTGCCGATGTCTCGTCAGTCTTCATCCGGCCCAACGGATTCAAAGCATGGAGCACAGTGTGACGCATTAGTCAAGGACAAATATCATTGACAAGTGGAGGGCAAAAATACCATCCATCTCAATCTACCTGAGTAGGCTCCTGAACCACTTCCAGGCCCTTATCTTGGCAGGGCATTTGCCTTTATATGCTCAGGTTTAAACCGTTGTTTAAACAAGAATATTTGCCTTAAATCCAGCGTCGATATGTACATCTCAGAGGAATGGAAGCGGAAGTCACGAAACTAGCGTTGACGGCGATCGCATAAAAGTAAATGAGAAAATCTTTTAGACCTTAATATTTTTTATGAACCTTGAAACGCAGTGACAATTAGAAGAAGGTAGATATTTTGATGTCTCTAAAATAATGTGCCAATGAAACGTGCGCAATATCGGTCAATTCTGCAGAAGGGCTGAGCGGGAAAGCGCTTGTATCAACCTCAAAAATCGTTTGTGAAATCTTTTAACGTATTGAAGATGAATAGACAGTAATGATTCAGCTACTTAATGGGCGAAATATACCAATTGTGGTTGATTAACGATATCGGGGTGCCATATTTTACTGCTTCAAAGACGAACTTTTCTGTCGAAATTCGAATCAACTACGAGTTCCATGCATTACTGAATGCCTTTAGAGAGAACTAATGTATTAGTCGTTTTTTGCAGTAAAAACGAGTGATGGTTCAGCAATAAAACTGTTATAATTTATCATTTTAATTCCTCCCCGGCAACTTCAGAAAATGATCGCGCCCATCTCTTGAATTCTACCGCCTTGATGGCGGTACTATATGGATGTGAGACGAGGTCATTCATTGAGGCTAAAGGGTCAGTTATCCATCACCGGGAGAGCCATGAACAGGTGAATGTTGCAAATCACGTCGTGACCATATCTCCAACACGGTGATCAAACAGCGGGCAGAAACGAAGGATGTCGCAGTCGAAATCAGATAGAAGCTTCCGTGGGCGGGGCATATAGATGGGCTCGCCGGCGGGAGATGATCAGCGGTGATCGCTGACTGGTGCCCTCGCGAGTGGGTTAGGTCATTCGGTCACCAGTTACAACGGACGGAAGATTATATAAGGAGTCAGTATGTTCGCGCTTGGAGGGAGGGGGCTCGAAAGCGTAAGGAATGGCGGGCGTGTTGAGGCAGGCGCTATTCGTCGCCGATTGCCAGCCGGTCCAAGTGATCCAGGTGAGTTGACTGTATGACTTAGTCCGTAAACGGTGCAGAGAGTTTCCAGTAAATGATGGCACGCCATTGTCATGTTCAGTATGCGCACTTGAAGAATAGAATTTTAAAGAGCAAGAAACGCAACTTTACCTTTTGCACCGGATCTTCAGGAATGGTTGAATTCGAATGAATCTTTCGAAGTCGGTCCTTCTTCACCATCAGCTGCTGAATCTCGACCTAAGTGAAAGACTGATACTTGTCCGTTCACTAAACAGCAAAGCAACATACATCCATGTCTTGCAGAGTCGATTGCCATGTTTCAGTCGCGGCTTCTTTTTCTATCAATCTTATTCGAAGCTTCTCCAATTTTTGGAAGAATTCGTTACTTTCTGTAAGGCCAAAGTTTTCATCATTTTCTGCAGTCAGCACTGGCAGTTTGTGCTTACTCAGCGATATGTCCTGAAAATTTCTTAAGGAAATCTGTTTGCAAATTGTTTAAATTGAAATTTAAATGGTTAAATCGTGAATTGTCCTAGATTTTAGAAATATTTAAATGGATTATTGAACAAGGTCAATTAGGCAAGATACGCTAATAGATAAAATTTTTCTGCCATGGGCGCTTTACGACTACGGCTTCAAGTTTATGTTTATTCGTTTATGCTACAATGCGACTATTAGCGCCATGTATATCGAAATAATAGGAACGATAACATGCAAGAAGTACCGACTTCTGAAACATCGTTCGCGTGGGCGCCAGGTGCCTCCAGCGAACAAAACCATGCGAGTTGCATCTGCCCTGGAGATCCTCAGATGCCACATAGCCGTGGCTTGCTTAAATGACCATTCCCCTAAGCAATGAGGAACATGGTAGCGGTGTAATATGCCGTGAAATGTGGTCTTGGAAGAGCTATACTTTATATATCAGCTTCATGAATTTATTATGCCAAATGAATATCAAAAGGACCAGTTAACATCAAATACGAAGTTCGATTGTAATGTACGTTGTATTGCAAGTTGCAGGGTTAGTTTCTGGGCGAACGGTGGAGAATTTATTGCTCTGGCGGAAATCGATTGCGCAGCAAGCGGTTGCCTTTCGGATCTTAGGCAACTGGAAAACAATAATTCCAAAGTTTCAGCAATCAACACCGCAAGGAGTAAACTCCGTGTTGCACGTTAGATCATTCGTCCAGTGCTTGACGAAGGTAACTCAGATGATGCCAGACATACGGCAGCCGTCGGTGCAAGATCGATGCACTTGCGGCCACGGGAACTCGCCTCCCATGTAAGGGGTGCTTGATCTGAAGAATTGGTGAACATTCTGATGATCAGATCACAGTAGATGACGCCCAGCCTGTGAGGGTACCCTCCTTGTCAACGTATGCTGGACGGACAGTCATTTCTATGGAGCAGGTGTCCGAAAGAACGCTGATCTCGTCGTGAATGTTAAACAGGTGACGTTGAATGTCATTATAACCTATACCCCGACAAATGCATCAAGAAAAAGTGGCAAAGACGCAGTACGCTGTTGGCTTTTTGTTGCGTCACGACATCAGAATTGTCACAGGCGACCTCAAAGGACAAGTGGGTAAGCGGTGAGTGCCAAGTACAACACCTGGCCAGGCGTACTCGGCCGTTATGGCATTGACAGTGTGAGTGACAAAGGGCAGACGTCTGTTAAGCTTCTGTACCACCGACTGTCAAGTCGTCAACGAGACCTCCCCCCCCCCACATAAGTGCATTCACAAAACTGCCGGAACGTCCTCAAATGGAAGTCCAAGCACCCGGCTG